CTGATGCCAATATTACACCCAGCACAGAGCCAGGATTGCCATGTGTTTAAATATATGAGTGATGGTCTGGAATGTAGAGATAGTGGGGGAGAGAAGAGTTAAGATCAACACCAAGTGTGAAGGAGGAGGATGGGGTGGGAGAGTGGAGGGGTGTGCATCTCTGTAGACTCCCTGTTCCTGATATTCAGTCCATCAATTACTTATTGAGTGCACGAAAATTAACTCCCCCCAGAAACCTGCAAGACACCCCGATAGGGTGAGTACCTGATCAGATTGATGAGACCTTGAATAGGCATTATCCCACATCAGAATTTGAAGGAGGCCATGGGGCTTTCATACTGGCCCATCATATTTTCTGCAACTTAGACACTTAACTGGATGGCTGGGAGGCTTCAGTGGAATCATAGTATCAAGGTCCAGTGGCAGGGGATCGCAGTGTGGACAGTTGGGAGTTCCTGCCAGCAAGAGTTGATGCATAGGAGACTGAAGCACCTCCCACTGCAACCACCCCACATCCCTACACATTTCTTCAAGGGCTACAATAGGACCTTGTGGTTTAATTGGTGAAACAACAGTGTTTCATTGGAAATATGGTGCACTGAAATTGCAGTCCGAAAAAGTGTTAAATAATCTGGACTTGAATGTAAACTCACAAGCTTTTGAGTCACAGCTGACAGCGTAAAGTCCAGAAAACCTGTTGCGTCATTCTTGCATGATCATTTCATAATAGAGCCATAAAGTGATATTGTTGTAATAAATCATTCAGCCCATTGTGACTGTGTTTGTGCCAGATGTCATTGAGTCATAGATTTATACAGATTTACAGCAGGGAAACAAACCCTTCAGTCCATTTCATGCGACTAGATATCCTCAATTAATCTAGTCCCATTTGCAAGCATTTGGCCCATATCCCTCTAAACCCTTCCTATTCATATATCCATCCAGATGCCTTTCAAATGTAATTGCACCAGACCAATGTCTGGCAGTTTATTCCATACGTGTATCACTGTCTATGTGAAAAATTTGTCCCTTAATTCCCTTTGAAATCTTTCCCCTCTCACCTTAAACCTATGCCCTCTAGCTTTGGATGCCCTACCCTGGGAAAAGTACGTTGGCTGTTCACACTATTCATGCTGTTCATGATTTTATAAACGCTAACAACATCACCCCTCAGCCTCTAATGCTCCATGAAAAATAACCACAGCCTATGCAGCCTCTCCCTAGAATTCAAACCCTCCAACTCTGGCAACATCTTTGTAATTTTTTTGTGAACCCTTTCACAATTTACAACATCTTTCCTACAGCAGGGCGACAATTTGCTATTAAATGAGCCTTGGTGAATTTATGCAGTACAGCTTGAAGATCGTACATAGTGCTGTTTCTGTCCGTTCATAGAGGAGGGAATGAATGTTTGTGGAAGCAGTGTGAATCAAGTCGGCTGCTTTGTCCTGAATGATGTCATGTTTCTTGAGTGTTGTTGGGGCTTCACTCATCTTGAGAAGTGGTGAGAATTCAATCACACTCCTGACTTGTACCTTGTTGATGGTAAAACATCTTAGAGAGTCAGGAGATCAGTTACTTCCTGCAGTATTCCTAGCTTTTGATATGCTCTTATAGCTGCAGTGTATATATGGTGAAAGAGATGGAGAGAACAACAGCAAGGAAAAATGCTATTCAGCCCATCACACCCACAACAGATAAAAACAAGCACCAGAATTTCTAATCCTATTTTCCAGCATGTGGTCCACAACCTTGTATGCTTTGGTATTGCAAATATGAATATTTCTTGAATATTAGAAGACTTTCTGCCTCTATTACCCTTACTGGCAGAGAATTCCAGAATCTCACTACCGTCTGGATAAAAATGTTTTTTTTTCACATTTCCTTGCAACTTTTCACCCCTTACCTTAAATCTGTTCCCCTGCTCATCCCAAGCCTGAAAACTGTCCACGTTTTTTCTGCACACGGGCATAAACTGCACCAATTAATTAGCTGTTGAAAATCGGACTGAAAACTGTGATCATTCCACTTCTGTTCTGCTGATGGGGAAATTTCGTTGTTAATGTCGTTGAAAATTGTTGGACTGTGATCAGTGCTTTGAGGCACCGATGCTACTATGTTTTGCCTCCAAGAAACTTGTGCTAAGTGTAGCATAATGGACCGTTTTTCCATTGGTTTCAAATTTATTTGCATTTCTTAAGGCTGCCCTCCGTCAAATGATGCCTCATTCAAGGGGTAGCACTCTTAACACATTTCTGGAATTCAAGCTGTTGGCTATCTTTGGGTGAAAGTGGCAGTGAGGATTGGTGCTGAGTCCAGACAGAACACAAAGATACATTAAAATTTGCTGGATGAAAAAATGTGAAGAACAGTCTTGGAAAAAAAAGAAGATAGCCATTAAAAGTTGTTAAGTTGCAGTTGATTGCAAATCAGTTTCACAGGAATAAGGAGCTCAGAACTGTCTCGGCACTAGTTGACTAATGTGCTGTATAGATGCATCCACCTACCTTCCCCAGCCCCTCTCATCCCTGCCCCTTTGACCCGTCCATCTTCTCTCCTACCTATCTCCCTCTCATCTCTGCCTCCTTGACCTATCCATCTTCTCTCCCATCTATCCGCTCCTCCCACCTCACTGACCAGTCCCCACCACTGTCTACCTGTACTCACCTATCACCATCCCACCTACTTTCCCCAGCCCCACTCCTCCTCTCCCTATTTATTTCAGATCTCCCTTCCCCCTCTCCATTTCTAAAGAAGGGCCCCGATGCAAAACGTCAGCTTTCCTACTCCTCTGATGCTGCCTGGTGCTGTGTTCCTCCAGCCCCACACTGTGTTATCTCTGACTCCAGCATTGGCAGTTCTTCCTGTTATAAAACTCCTGTACTTTTTTACTCCATTCCAATTGCAAAAAAAAACCCAGCATTTTATTTTGATTACTAATGGCTTGCTACGACAGCATGCTATCTTTTGTGAGTCATTATAAGTCATAACCAAGTTCTCTATACCATAAAATTTAGTAGACATTCTCAATGAAATGATGCTTTGTTTTCCTAGCCTTCTTACTGAAGTTATTGAGATTAAATTATTCCACAACAGACTCCATTTGACATTTTGCCAATCTCATCTGACCTAATTAGATTCCTTTGCAGATATTTTGCCCAGACACGTTACCCCTCAAATAATGCTTTCCTGTCCTGCTATCATCAGCAAATTTGCTTGCAGCACACTCCATCCCATCAAACAAGTTAGGTGGAAATACTGTAAATAGCTATATCATATTCACTGCTGCATCCCTTTAGTTACAATTTTCTAAGCTGGAGATGACCTGTCTGTTATGACTCTTGGTTTCCTGTGAATTAGCCAATCTTATATTCAGGTTACCATCACTCCAAACGAAATGATCTCATATCTTGTGCAGTAACATATGATATGTCCCCGTAATCAATGCTGTTTGAAAATCCACATACATCACATCCAATAACTTCCCTTTATCTGCCCTGATGTTTCATTCTAAATGAATTCTGGTAAATTCATCAAACAAAATTTGGTGTTGGAAATGTGTGGCAACCAAACTGCCCAGGAGGTGGATTGAAACTCAAATATTGTGATAAAGCTTATTCCCTACAATTTATCTGCGTACCATTGGTTTCAGGGTTTCCTCTGCTGCCTCAGAAACCGACAGCTGAAAGGAGACAATGACTGCTACATGTAAGACGTAAATTTATTTCTTTGCTTATGGATCATATGAAAGAGGAGTATGCCCTTGCAGCGTAACACCCCTTGATCCCAGGTTTGGCAATCATCAAGGACTGTTGAATTCTTCTCCTGGGCCACTCACCTCCTCCAAGATTGTGATATAAAATATTCTATAAATGTCTTCTCATCCAGGATTGTTGACTTCTCCCACTCAGAATTCAGATCAAAGGAACTAAGTTTGATAAATAAGGTTTCTCAATCAAGCACTTTCATTTACTCCATAGAAGATTTTTATTCCTGGTGAAATGCTTAATTATCTCATGTTAAATAATTCTTTCTGTAATTTTGCCTCAATAAACACCAACACTTCTATCACCTTTATTTAGAAACGAAAGAATGCAGATTTATGGACATATTTTTGCGAAAGTGCAGGAATAATTAAAAAAGTGTGTTGAAACACAAACTTCTAATCTCTGGTGGTTTCAATCAAGGTAGAAAAACATATGTGCAGTGTATAACAGTCTATATAAAAAATAATAATTTCAGGAATGACTTGGTAAATTAGATGACGGAAATGTGGAACTTACGACTGTAAATTACGGCAAATCATTGAGAGAAGACATGCAATATATTTTAGCGAAAGCATATTTTATATTAATTAAATAAGCATGCAAGGCCTGCTGTTTAAGTGAGTTTATATGAAAACAATGTCACCACAAAAAAAAGGAAAAAGAAAATTAATTGTATACTCCCTCGGAAGAAGAATATAAAACCTATTTTGAAACAGGCCAATGACCTATTTTCCATACTGCCACCAAAACGATGAACTCAAAGATTCCAAACCATCCTCTATTCCAAGCACTGCCATCACCCCACCTTCTCTCCACAAATCCCCTCAATGTTGAAGTAGCACATTGTTTGGCATGTGTTTTGCGAAATTGATGTGAGTAATGTGAGTAAATTGATGTGAGTCATGACGCTAAGTTTCAGCACTGATTTTTTTTTGTTAGGTTATGCAATTTTCAAATTGAAACTCCACACAATGAAGGAAGCCAAGGAACGAGAAAGGAACTAGTGATAACTTTGATTTAAATAAATATGGAGCACTTATGATGTTCAATTCCCATGAAATGAAAGTCAAGGGAGATGTATAAAATGGTCCAAAACATCAAATATAAAATTCCTGTTCCTGCTGATTATTGTGACTTGATTTGATTGTGTAAAATAGGTGCTGGTAAAACTCTTTTTTTACAGCTCTCTGAATGGAATTGTCATTCACCATCATTAGCAGAAAGTAATACGTACTAAAATATCTGGTCCTTACTGACGAAAGTTTTCAAGGTTTTTTTTGAAGTCACTGGGCCTATCATATTCCTCTTTGTATTCTTTTCTTTCTTCAGAAGAATAATATAACATTTTGGGGCAAAAATGCAAATAAGCAGACCAAAACTGGAGGCCAAAATAGCAAATACTTCAACTGCCACAGTATATTTCCCTGGCGAACTTATGTAAGCTGGAATGAAAGTTATCCAAACTGCACAAAAGATAAGCATGCTAAACGTTATGTGTTTAGCTTCATTGAAGTTATCTGGAAGTTGGCGAGCTAAAAAAGCTACCACAAAACATACGCAAGACAGAAATCCAATATAACCGAGTACACAATAAAAGGCGAACGGCGATCCTACATTGCATTCAAAAACGATGATCTCATTAAAGTGACGAGTGTTTTTCAAAGGATAAGGTGGCAATAGAATTAACCAGGCAGTACATATTGCACATTGTACCAGGGTAAGGATGTAAACCATCAGCCGTTGTTGTCTTGGTCCAAACCACTTCATCATATTCTTGTTAGGAAACGTTGCTTTGAATGCCATCACCACGACTATTGTTTTACTTAAGACACAAGATATGCAAAGAACAAAACTAATACCAAACGCTACGTGGCAGAGCATACAAGACCAAACTAAAGGTTCACCAATGAATGTAATTGCACACAGAAAGCAAAGTGTCAAGGCAAAAAGAAGAAGGAAGCTTAACTCAGAGTTATTAGCTTTAACTATCGGAGTTTGTCTATAGACATAGAATATTGTGAACACACCAACAGTGGTGCCAGCTCCCAACAACGACAGGGCCACGAGAATGATTCCCATTGTCTCGAAAAAGGAAAGAAACTCGATTTCCTTTGGGATGCACTGATCCTGTCTTTCATTAGATTTAAATTCCAATGGACATTTTGTACAATGAACGGAATCTAAAAAAGAAGGACTTGGTCATTATAGGAAGAATCGTAAAACCCTCGCTGCAATTCAGAAATCAAATTTATGCTTCATGCCTTTGGTATAGGTATTGATGCTTTCTTACCAGTCGTGTTACTTATTTCTCCTTGTGCACATTGTATGCAATCAAAACAGCAAATAGGTTGTCCTTTTCTTCCGGCTTTCCTTGTTCCTCGATGGCAGCTTTCAGAGCAAACAGCTTTAGGAACCTAATTAGGAACATGCATAGAATGGAGAAGAAATATTAATAATCCCACAGAGCAAAAGTACAGCATTCAGTCTGGTTTACAGGGCAAATGCTATTCGTATTACATTTATTAGGACAGTACTTTTAAAAGTAATTTTACAGATTGTGACTGCTTCATATCCAGTTTAAAGACACTTGAAAGTGCTTGGAATAGGTTTGCTGTTTACAGAAGCAAAACATTTCAACAAATTCAGATTCACATTATAGCATTCATGATGTGTCCATGGAGTTGCCTCATCTATTACTGAAAAAGAAATAGGTACTGTCAGAAATAAAATCAAATAGTTCGTAGTCATACAAATATACAGCACGGGAACAGACCCTTTGGTCCACCTCGTTCATGCCAACCAGATAGCCTATATAAGTTTAGAAAAAAAATTGCCAGTATTTGAGGAGTCAATAGCCTGGTGGTATTATTGCAGGACTGCTAATCCAGTAGACCCAGATAATGTTCGGGGACCTGGGCTCGAATTCCCGCATTTGAATGCAATAAAAATATCTGGAATTCAGAATCTACTGATGTCAGTGGGAAAACAAAACCATCTGGTTCACTCATGTCCTTTATTGAAGGAAGCTGCCATCCTTACCTGGTCTGGCCTACATATGACTCCAGACCCACAGCAATGTGGTTGACTCTGAACTGCCTTCTGCGCAATTAGGGACAGGTAGTAAATGTTGCCTAGCCAGCGACGCCACAATCCCATTAATGAATAATAAAAAAAATGGCTCAAATCCCTCTGAATCCTCCCTATTCATATACCTATCCAGGTGCCTTTTAAATGTTGAAATCGTACCCAATTCTATCACTTCCTCTGGCAGCTCATTCCATACACACACTGTCTAAAAAAGTTGCCCCTTAGGTCCCTATTATATCTTTCCTCTCTCATGTTAAACCCATGCTTTTTAGTTTTGGATTCCCCCACCCCAAGAAAACCACATTGCCTATTTACCCTATCCTTGCCCCTCATGATTTTATAAACTTCTATAAGGTCACCCCTCAGCCTCCGATATTCCAGGGAAAATAGCCCAGTTTATTCAGCCTCTCCCTATAGATCAAACCCCCCAACCCTGGCAACATGCTCATAAATCTTTGCTGATCCCTTTCTAGTTTCACAACCTGCTTCACACAGGAGGGAGATCAGAATTGCACGCAATGCTGCAAAAGTGGCCAAGCCAATGCCCTGTCCAGCCGCAACATGACCTCCAAACTCCTATAGTCAATGAGCTGACCAATAAAGGCAAGCACACCAAATGCCTTCCTCAGTATCGTGTCTACCTGCAACTTCACTTTCAAGGAACTATGAATCTGCACTCCAAGATCTCATTGTTCAGCAGGATATTTTGTAGTAATTCTGTTAATTGACTAAAATGAAACCCAGATTCAGAAGTAAAAATGATTTTCTTAATTCAGTCATGTAATGGGGGCATTGCTACCCAGGCCAACATTTATTGCCCATCTTTTGACTTGTCCTCTTGAATTATTACAAACCTTTTGATTGTATTTAGACCTATTACATTATAACGGAAGAAATTCCAGGATTTTGCTTCACTCAGTGGCACTGAAGGAACAGGCTCGTATGTCTAACTCAGGCATGGGGAGTGGCCGCCAGGGGAATTTGCAGTTTGTTGTGTTCCGGTTTACTTGCCCCCAGTGTTCTTCTGAATGTAAGTGGTAGTGGGATAGGAAAGTGCAGTCTGACAAGCATTGTTAAATTTTTGCACTGTATTGTGTCAATGCTGCTCCTGAATAATTATTGTGAGGGAAAGTAAATGTTTGTGAGAGTGGTGCCAAACAACTGGGCTGTTTTTTTTTAACTGACGTTTTCAAGCTTCTTGAAAATTGTTGGAGCTGCACCCATTCAGGCAAGTTGGAGTATTCCATCACATTACTGTGTCCTGTAGGTGGTGTTTGGGTTTTGGAAAGTCCACAGGTGAGTTACCTGCTGCAGGTTTTCTAGTCTCTGACCTGTTCTTCTAGCGATATAACTTATATGACTTGTCCAGTTCAGTTTCTGCTCAATGGTATCAGCTCCCATATTGATAGTGGGGAAATTAATGATGCTGATGCCATTGAATATCATGTGGAAATTATTAGCTCCTTCATTGTTGGTGACAGTTATTGCTTGTGTGGCACAAATGCGTTTGCAACCAAGATGGATGTAACCACAATGTCCCTTGGCATCGACATAATGAATCCAATGCTGTTTGAACATTATTTTCAAACCCGCTTTTCAGTATGGTTAGAATTTTATTTCTTTGTTCGTAGATTCATTTGTTCATTCATTTAAAATATAGTGACAATTAGAACTCTTATTCTTAACTGAAATGCCTTACATTTTGTCATTTTTAACTACATCAGTTATGTATAACATCTGCTGTTGAAGTGGTGCATATATAACATTTCTCAGATCTTTCATTCTGGATTGATCAAACTAAGCGATTATTGAATTGGTGAGCATACCTTTTCCGTATAAAATGCCTGATAGGTTGAAGTCATACTCAACATCAGGAAATGGGCAGTAGTGGTTGGGCGTTCCAATCCCAAACATCCCAGATGTCCTCTTATTTCATGGACTACAACATCCCCCCTTCGGTAGTCAAAAATGCTCTCAACCGCATCTCTTGCATTTCCCGCATCTCTGCCCTCACATCCCCTCCTCCCAACAAAAACAAAGGCAGAATCCCACTTGTCCTCAAATATCACCCCACTACCCCCGACACTTTTCTCTAAAACTGCAGGAAATGCTACACCTGCCACTACACCTAATCCCTCACCTCCATTCAAGGCACCAAACAAACCTTCCACATCAGACAGAAGTTCACCTGCATATCCGTGAATTTGGTCTGTTGCATCTGCTGCTACCGATGTGGACTCCTCTATATTGGTGAGACCAAGCGGAGGTTCGGAGACAGCTTTGTAGACCACCTGCGCTCTGTTCGTGACAAATGACAACATCTTCCGGTCACAAACCATTTCAACTACCCCTCCCACTCCCTGGGTGACAT